AAACAAAGTCTCACTATGTTGCCCTTGGTAGAGTGTTGTGGCGTCATAGCTCACAGCAACCTCAAACTCTTGGGCTCCAGCGATTCTCTTGCCTCAGCCTCCCAAGTAGCTGGGACTACAGGGGCCCGCCACAATGTCTGGCTAGTCTTTTGTTGTACTTGTTGTTTGGCAGGCCCCAGCCAGGTTCGAACCTGCCACCTGTGGTGTATGTGGCCGGCACCCTAGCCACTAAGCCTGTGTTACTGTTTTTATAAATTCTTGTTTTTTTATGTGTGACTGCTGAAATTTGCTAGTGTGGTGCTCCTAATCCCACTGTTCTCATAAAGCCTGAGGCTTTTTATGTAATTTTGGGCAGCACGTTGATTTCCAGGAACATAGACAGCACATGATAACAGACCTCACTGCACTTTGCTTATCATCATCCTCTGCCTCTGCCGAGAAGGCTCTTTTGCCTGCCTCCGGAGTCTGAAGTACTCGCTATCTTTTAAGATCCTGCTCATATGTTCCTTCAGGATCTTATTCCTCCTTCTCTCTCCGTCAGAAATATGCTTTTCTCCTTCCCCTGCACTCTGCATCTCTGCTACCCCACATTCTGCCTTGGAGTGTGGACGCAAGTGATGTGTGGGTCCCCACCCTGAGGACAGGGACTCACCTTATTTGCATTTGTCATCGCCTCTTCCAAAAACTGTATCTTGCTCTGAAGGGCGTCTATCTGACCTCTTTTGGCTGTGATTTGCTTCTGCATCCCCATTGCCACTTTCATAGCTGGGAGGAGAAAAAGGAGGCAAACTGTTTCTACAGTCTCCAAAGTTTGAGAGGCTGCTGCTGTGATCTGATGGCTAAACCTTACGAGAAGGTGACAAGTAAGATCCTCCACGACACCTGGGCAGTTTCAGGAAAAGATCCCAGACTAGTCTTCACTTTTCATAATTTGGGGATATAATAATTTTTAGGTACTATTAGAGATTTTGGCTGGAAAAGACATATGATGATGTTCTGTGAGTTTCTTTGTTACTGAAATTAATTTCATTGGTGATTATAAGTTACCATAGTTGGCAATGTACAAACTCATACATATCCTTACACATATAGGAAGTACATATATAAATATGTAGTTTATTAAAATAAATTTTCCAGAAACTCACATTTAAAATGCTACTATATGTACTATATCTTTCTTTCTTTCTTTTTTTTTTTTTTTTGCAGTTTTGCCTGGGCCCAGGCTTGAACCCGCCACCCTGGCATATGGGGCCGGCGCCCTCTCCTTGAGCCACAGGTTCTGCCCTTACTATATCTTTCTTCAGAATCCAGTGAAACCATTCAATTTTCGTTCTCATGCTTATTGTCACGGAACTCACGACTGTCTCAGTGGTCAAACTGCTAGGATGAGCACATACGCGATTATTGTTGGAAAACTGATGATGACACGATGAGAATGTTCTAGATGGGTCAAAGGCACTGAATACTTAAGAAATGGCAGGCCACTGAAAAGGTATATGAAGCTAATATTTACTTGGAAATTCAAAATCAGAAGACCCTATATATTTTTTCTTTTTGTAAAAATCAGGTCCAGGCAAGGCTCAAACTTACTACCCCTGGGTTGCAGGACCAACACTCTAACCACTGGACTACAGTGCTCAGCTTTTTTTTTTT